AAATTCATTATTACATTATTGTGGCAGATCAAAAGACTGATATAGATTTTAAAAAGTGACTTTATAAAGTCATTTATTGTTTAACAAATCTCTCCAAATTGGCTGTTGAGCCTAAGTCTCCATGAATAAGAAACTGTTTGCTGTAAAGTAGCAAAGACGAGGAAATCTGAACATAATAACTTTTGTCTACTTAAAGACAATAAAAAGTCCAGTCTTTCCTTAACCATATTAAAAATATTATTGATAGAGAAATGTTTTATATATGAGATCACTGGTTTTAGTCCTTGTTTTAGTCCTGGTTTAGACCTGCTTTAGTCCTACTTTAGTCCTAGTTTAGTCCTGGAATGGATTAATCCTGGTTTTAGTCCTGGTTTAGACCTGGTTTAGACCTGGTTTTAGTTCTGATTTTAGTTCTGGTTTAGGCCTGGTTTAGTCCTGGTTTAGACCTGGTTTAGTCCTGGACTGGGTTAGTCCTGGTTTTAGTCTTGGTGTTAGTTCTGGATTAGAGGCGCACAGGAGGAAGCGCGGTTTACGCAAGAAAACACGATCCACACGCGGCGCACGGGAGCACGTCAGTGTCCGCGCAGTAACTACGGAAGGAAACGTGGTCCGCGCGTTCTCAGGTTAATGACGATGATGAAGGTGTGTGAGTGTTTATGTGTGTTTGTGTGCGTGTCCCCTCATGTGGCAGGTCATTATAGGACAGTAGTGCAGACATCATGAGTCTATGCAGGTTATTTTCACCAGTGACATTTAAGTTGTAGGCAATATTATATTTGTTATTTTCTTTTATATTTCACGTTGGGAGAATAATTTCCAAGACACGAATGCATTTTTACCTGTGCGATGCTGCTTCTGTTCTACTGGCTCTTCGACCTGACGACGTTTACGTCGCTCTTACTGCGCGCGTTTTGTGTGGGTTTCCGGCAATGAGTGGAATTACCGAAATAAAAAAATTTATAAATGTGTTTTTGTGTGTGTGTGTTGTTGTCCCAACAACACATAAAAACAGGTTTTATAATAAAGCAACTCGCATACAGAAGTTAGCGATTAAAAAACCTAACGCGCTAAATATGACTGTAATTAATTAATCACAATTAACGCGATAATTTGACACCCCTAGTTCTAACACTGATGGTCTCAGCAGTCTCATTAATGTGATTCAATTAAAATGTCACTTAAAGGTGCACAAAGGAAACAGCATCTCCATGAGAAAAGCAGATGAGGGACACACTGTGCACTTTGTTACATTGAGCACCTTTAAGAAACTTTAAAATATTATTATTTTGAGGCTGCTAAGATAATCTTGACAATGCGAGGTCTTTAGCATGTTCCAAAAAGCACTCTTCAGGCTGTAATTTGGAAAACCATAGAAGGAAACATAGGAGAAAAACAATTTTGTCATTGAAATGCTCTGTAGGCAATAAGGTCTTAACCACCACTAAACAGGCCACATACTATGAGGGAATCCTCAGAGCAGTGGCGATCCTACATTGATTTACTCTTGACCCCCCCTTCACGGACTGTTTTGGACCGATTTATGTAATGATGGAGGAAAGGAGCTCAAGAGATAAGACTTAACTTGTTATTCTAAGATGTGGGCCTTATTCCCTTTGAGTCAACGTGGCCAATGATTTACACCTTTCATTGTTTTATTATGTACTTTTCTGTCTGTGTACGTGACTTTGTGCTAATGTGTAATGAAGTATCTGTCGAATGTGTACTTTATTTATTCTTTATATTACTTATTTATATGTGAAAGACCACATTTTAAGAGGGTTTATTTAAGTTTTCGTATTTTCTTTCGGAGTGTCTATTTGCACCATGGGTGTTAATAGTTCAATGGACACGATTCTTCTATTTACACCCATCTCAACAAAAAAAAGGAATGGTGATGTCATTTCCTGTGAAAAGTGCTGAAACTGGATTTGAGAATCCAAAGAAATAAAATTCAAAACGAAGGTAATGTAAGGTAAGGTAAAAGGTAAGTCAAAATTTTTTGTTGCTACAAAATATATTTGCAATACCTGTCCAACCATTACTATGCAGGTTGTTTTCACCAGTGACATTTAAGTTGTAGGCGATTGTGTTGTCCCAACAACACATAAAAACAGGTTTTATAATAAAGCAACTCGCATACAGAAACAGTAAAGTTAGAGATTAAAAATGAGATTAACGCGATTAAAAAACATAACGCGCTAAATATGACTGTAATTAATTAATCGAAATTAACGCGATAATTTGACACCCCTAATTTATATTACTATTTATATAATATTTCATCACTCACCATTCTGGTCACAATGAAGACGACTCCCTTCTCACTTGATTCCTCACCTCGATTCTACCGATGGGTTGATTCTACTTAAAAAGGGTGAGCCCCGCCCACACAAGGACAAAAGAGGATCAACTCCTCCCTGAGACCAATAAAGTTTGAGTCTTGGCACAGAAATTTCTAGATATGACATATGACTGCTTATTGTCACAGTAAATAAAATAAAAAATTATAATAATAATTCAAATTAAATCTGTGGATCCTCACCTGGACCCTGTTGAGCTCCGCAGAAGCTGGTTTGGGTCTGCGTCACGACATCAGCTCTCAGCTGAGCTATAAAAAATCTATAAACTATCAATGATAAATTAGCATGAAACTGAACTTTACGATTATTTCAGAGGCATATTAGCTACAGTGGAGAGGTTGGATGTCAAAACACTATTCTTCATGTCTTAGGGTTGTGTTAAATTGACCTCATATTAGCGGAGATATGTTCTAAATCCCAGCTGAAAGGTTTGTAGTGATGCACGCACAAGGTACACAGGAATAGTCTCACCCTCTCAGCACTATTGTTCTTATTACATGAAAAACCTGGATTCAGACGTCCTTATAATTAGCTGATTGGCTTGACTGATTTTTTTAATTATACTAAGTTTGTAATAATAAGCATAAGTGGCCAGAACAGAAGACGCGCTGTGGAGAATATGGAGAATGAAACCTGATGATTTAACACGCCCAGATCAAACCAAGAAAAAACACAAGGCCATTTGAGAAACAGTCCGACTGTTTTAAATGTGCCCTGTTACGGGCTTGGATAGTTCTGGATAGTTCTGTAGTTACAAACACAAACCCAGCCCACAGGAAAAGGTTTATGAAGAAGTCACGTGTTTTCTTATCAAAGGCCTTGCCTATTTATAATCCAGTTAGTGACATTGACTCTGTCCATCCGCACTGAGATGTAATATATGTATATGATATGTAACAATATATGTATAAGATATGTAACATAATAATGAGAGCTGTGTCAGTAGAATCTATTATGAATGTTTGTAAACCCTGTATTTTTTAGAAGAAAAAGAAAAAGACACAAACAATAACAATAAACTCAAATAACACAGAGACCTGAGTGAAGAGAGCTGTATAGGTATAGGATTAAAGACATACTGTGGAACATTCAAGGCAAAGCAATACATCTTCTAATAACTCCTATCTACAAAAGTTACAGGGAGCGGTGGTGGGCTGTGGTTGTTGGGACGTTTGGTCTCTAGGCCTCGTCTCTCCCGTTTGCCCTGGTCCTGCCCTCACCGCCTTACAGTAATAAACAAATACAAAAGCATTATTATAGAACAAAGTTGAATATAATAAAAACAAATAATTAAAGTGGGACAGTGCAGTTATGGTCTGGTGGTCTGGTGTGGTGAACAGGCCGAGTCTAAACAGGGACGAGTTGAGTTTGGATTAGAAAGTGAGTCACGGGTTTCACAGCCAGGGCCCTTCTTGAAAAGTCCAGTGCAGCTTCTTTTCATACAGTGGAGAGAGGCTGTATATGATTTGGAACTGTATATTATTTGGGTTGTTTAGAGTGGTTTTTATAAAAGTAGACCATGTTAGTTTGTTGTTATAAGTTCTGCTAGTCTCCACAAGACAAAGACAAAGTTTTGTAATAGTTAAGACTCAAGAAATAAACTCAGCTTGTTTATTGTATGGATATAAACAAATGTACATGTGTTTCAGTAAATACACATTTTTCTGGTGATTAGACAGTATAGTGTTCATGTCAGTCTTATGTATAATTAAACCAGATTATTGTTAAATCGACAGTATAATAATAGATTGTAATTAGACCAAAGTATATTGTGAAACTCACTGTAAAATGTATTTTTGATTATTTTGTAAAAACATACAATGACGTGAGGCTGCACTGAACTGAAGCTCACCGTCTTTTGTCTCAGTATTTTCTGTGTTTATTCAGGGTTTTCTTCTGTGGGGACCTGCCCCCTCGACCGGACAAATAACATGTGCATGTCCTTCATCAACACAGTGAAAACTAAAAAATAAGAGAGAAAATTGCTCGGCTCTAAATACGATACTTGAAAATAATACAAAAAAATATATATATTTACCATGTTTGCTGTTTGCTGGTAGCTACATACAAGTAACATATTTTGAAATTAAAGAACTCTATTTTTCTCTATTGTCTTTTTCTCTCTTTCGTGGCTACTGTTTTTCTCGTTTACTTTTATTTAATTTTACTAATAAAAAGATAAACTTTTAATAAGAGCAGTGTTTTGACACATCTTAATCTTTTAAGACAGTAATAGTAGTTGTAGTTGTAGTAGTAGGATTAGTATTAGTAGTTGCAGTAGTCATAGTAGTAATAGTAATAGTAGTGGTAGTAGTAGTAGTAATAGAAATAGTACAGGTGGTAGTAGTAGTAGTAATAGTAATAGTAAAAGTAGTAGTTGTAGTAGTATTAGTAGTAATAGTAGTGGTAGTAGTAGTAATAGTAATAGTAAAAGTAAGTAGTTGTAGTAGTATTAGTAGTAATAGTAGCCGTAGTAGTAGTAGTTGTACTAGTATTAGTAGTAATAATAGTAATGGTAGTAATATTAGTGGTAGTAGTAGTATTAGTAGCAGTAATAGTCATGGTAGTAATAGTAGTAGAATTAGTAGTAGTAATAGTAGTGGTCTTAGTAGTAGTTGTATTAGTAGTTATCGTAGTAGT